GTGCATATATTTTGTGCACTAGGCCTCTAGTATATATATAATTTACATGCTCCTATATTGGGTGCATATATATTTTCCAGGGTTATATTCTCTTGTTGGATTGATTCCTTTAGTATTATGTAGTGACCTTTGTAGTCTCTTGTTATGGCCTTCATTTTGAAATCTATTTTGTCCGTATTGATTCTCCAGCTATTTTTTCTTTTCTATTTGTGTAGAAATTTTTTTTCCATTCCTTCACTCTCATCCTTTTTATGTCTTTTGTTCTGAAGTGGGAGTCTTGTAAACAGCATAGTATTTGGTCATGTTTTTTTATCCATTCAGCTACCCTGTGTCTTTTAATGGGAGCATTTCATCCATTTACAGTCAAGGTTATTATTGATAGGTACTTATTTATTGCCATTTTAATTCTGTATGTCTTGGTTTCTCTCTCTATTTCTTCTACTCATTATAGCAGCCCCTTTAGCATTTTTTGCAATATTGACTTGATGATGATGTACTGCTTTAACTTTTTTTGTTGTTTGACTTGGAAGCTCTTTATTGCCCATCTGCTTTGAATGATAGCCTTGCTGGATATAGTGATCTTGGTTTCGGATCCTTGTTTTACATTGTCTTGAGTACTTCCTGCCATTCCCTTCTGCCCTGTAGAGTTTCTGATGTGTAATCAGCATTATGGGAGCTTCTTTGTAGGTAACAGTTTGATTTTCTCTTGCTGCCTTTAAGATTCTCTCTTTGTCTTTAATTTTGGCATTTAAATTATGATGTGTATGGGCATGGCCCTGTTTGGGTTCTTCTTGCTTGGTATTCTTTGTACCTCGTGAACTTGTGTGACTTTTTCCTTTACCAGGTTAGGGAAATTTTCTGCCATTATTTCTTCAAACAAGTTCTTTATCCCTTTTTCCACTACTGCCTCTTCTGTCACTCCTGTTATTTGAATATTGTGACATTTAACATTGTCCCACAGCTACCTTAAAGTACTTTCCTCTTTTTTAATTGATTTTTTCAACCCTGTATTCTAATTCACTGATTCAATCCTCAGCTTCCCCTAATCTGCTCTGTATTCCTTCCAATGTGTTCTTTATTTGTGCTATGTCATTCTTTATTTCTATTTTCATACTTACTATATCTTTTCTCATTCTGTTGAGCATCTTTACCATCATTATTCTGAACTCTATATCAGATAACTTTCTTATCTACATTTCATTTATCTCTTCTTCTGGAGGATTATCTTGTTCTTTAATTTGGGAGTTCTTTCTTTGTATTCTCATTTTGGCTACTTATTTGGGTTTGTGACTATGCATTAGATATATCTGCTATGCCTCTCAATCCCTAGTACAGGACAGTATCAAATGCTGTTCTTCTCATTAGATCAGGCAAAGACTCAAAGCTTCCAGAGACTGCCTCTGCCTACAGACTGATAGGATTCTGTCTTGAATTGCCCTAAAGCAATTGCCCTCAGTTGTAGTGAGAGTTTTTTCAACAGGGTGGAACAAGTGCTTCTACCTGTAGGCCAATTGTTATTATAAGTCTCTTAATGGGGCCAGAAATTCTGCACCGTGGGGCAAGGTGTTTTCCAAAAGTGTGGGTCAACTGTCTTCCTCCCCCTATTCAAAACTGGCTGTATAGAAAATGCCTGTATGTGAAACATGACCTCTGCAATGTGAGGGAATGACTCAGCACAGGAAACCGGGATGTCTGCCTTTGGAGCTCTAACCCCAGAGCCCCTGATCCTGGCTTCTGCCTACACAGCTGCAGTCCACTTTGCCCTGCCTCTCCCAGAGCACATGGTGTATGGCTCCACAGGGAATTTTGTGCATTGGCCCTTTAAGAGGGTGCCTGGATTTTCCCCCATTTCTCCATGGCATACAGCAACCCCACTGCTTTTCACAGTGTGGGTATCCTTCTCAGTTGTGGTGCTCTCTGCTGGGGGACCCAGCTTGGGGATTAGACCCCAGAGTTCTCAGTGGCAACCCCCATAGCTGATATATCTCTCTGGAATTTCAGCTGCTGTCGGTGGTAGTCCCACCAGCCATTTTGTGCCTCTGCCCCTCCTACCAGTCTTTATGAGGTCTCCACTTTCCATTCTTGGTTATCAGGGTTCTCTCCAGTGTGTTTTCCATTGATTATTCTGGATTTTTTTCTGTATTTTAGCTATAATCCCAGTTTGGTCCTGGGAGTGCTTCTGTGTAAAAACTCTATCTTGTTAATATGGTGATGTGTAAGTTTCTTTTAACAAAATTTCATTTGTAAGCATCCACTTACTCTCCTACTATTTTTAATTCCTGCATAGTCTTTCTGATTGGCTTCTTTCACTTGATAATATGAATTTATGTTTCCTCTATAACTTGGTGGATTTGACAGCTCATTTCTTTTTAGATAGGTTTTAAAGAGAAATTGCCCTACCCTGTAGAAAAAAACTCTGGATATACCACAGTTTATTTATCCATTCTCTTACTGAAGGACATACTTGGTTATTTCCACATTTTGGCAGGTAGGAATAAACCTGCTATTAACATTTTTGTGAAGGTTTTTGTAGGGACATAAGCTTTTAGCTCCTTTGCATGAATACTAATCTTAATTGCTTATTTGTATGGTAGATGTATGCATACTTTTGTACAAACTTCCAAATCTTTCTTTTATAGTGACTATACCATTTTTCATTTACACCAGTGATAAATGAGAGTTCCTATTGTTCCACATCTTCACCATCATTTGATGTTGAATGTGTTCTGAATTTTGGCCATTCTAATAAGTGTGGGTGGACTTGTTACTATTTTTCCTCCTAGAGGTATAACAGTGGACCCCCTAACAGCATCAAACTATAGGTCCCATAGTCATCATACAATAGCCAAGTTGACGTAATTATATCAAAGGGCAATTATGTTTCATCTGAATTTATGCCTAGTACAACTCAGAATCCCAGGCCCCCATTATTAATTAAAAAGGAAATGTAAGTGAGGGCAGTCTTAACATACCTACAAAACATTATCATCCTAATTATTTTTATATTTGACTTTTTGTTTAATGACTATCTCAGATTTATCTTTCCTAGGAAGTTCAAGAAGATAATAGTAACTACTAAAAACTCTATCTTGTTAATATGATGATGTGTAAGTTTCTTTCAACAAAATTTCATTGGTAAGAGGATTCCAATCATAAGCAACTGCTGTTGAATGTTTATAAGACCCCTCAACTTAAATATACAATTCACATTTTCATCTATTTTTTAGTTATCAACTGCATATTTACATAGCAAGCATAATGAACACATGCAATACATAATATTTCATTTCTTCTGTATATATATATATATAT